GGGTAAACGTTGATAAAAAGAGATCAGTTTTTACACAAAGGGTAAGACGACAATACAGTATAGAGTATAAACCATGTTAAATATCCATAAATATGCCAACACTTTTAGAGCGTGTGAGATTGGACTGCTTGGTGTTATAAACACTGATGTCCTCATTATCCACTCCATATGTTTATTTGTTCACTAGTGCTCATTAGACATGCAGGATGCTGCCTCTCATGAGAGAGCGCGCTGTATTCGATCAAAAGGGTGCTTCTACTAAATACTGAGCAAAGGGTCTGAATACTTAGGACCATGTGATATTTCAGTTTTTCTTTTTTAATAAATCTGCAAAAATGTCAACAATTCTGTGTTTTTCTGTCAATATGGGGTGCTGTGTGTACATTAATGAGGAAAAAAAATTTACTTAAATGATTTTAGCAAATGGCTGCAATATAACAAAGAGTGAAAAATTTAAGGGGGTCTGAATATTTTCCGTACCCACTGTATATACTGTATATATATATATATATATAATGCATTAACTAACAATGAGCAAAACATTTCTTACAGTATTAATTAATCTTTGTTAACATTAGTTAATGAAAATACAACCGTTTATTGTTAGTCCATGTTATGCCAGGTCTATTAAATAACATAAATAGATACAACTTTTGATTTTAACAATGCATTAGTAAATGTTGGAATTAATATTAACTAAGATTAATAAATGCTTTAAATGCTGTTTATGTTAAATAATGTAGTTAACTAATGGAAACAAATGGAACATAATTTTAAAGTGTTACCGATTATTTTCATCAGGTGTTGCACATTTACAGTACTTAACTTTAATATTTGACATAATATATAAAATTATTTTCCAGAAAACATTTGAATAATTTATTTTGGCTTTAGTACAATCCAGTGATATATTTTATCTTTATATTATTATTATACTGACTTTAGCTTCCTTTATATTTTAGGACCTGGGGCCGGTTGCATAAACTGATTAGACTAGTCTTAAAAGTTAGTCATCTAATTTTTTTTTCTTTAAGGCTGGTCATAACTTTGTAAAATCAGTTACATAAAAAGGTAGACTGGTGTAATTCTTATATGAAAAGTAAGTCTGTTTACCATTTGGTTAACTGCTACTTGGTCAAACTAGTTCTTAAGACACAGTCTTAATATATAGATTGTTTATGCAACTGGCCTCTGGGTCCATCGCAAGGAAATCATCACATTTGGGGGTCCTTAGTATCAAGTTTGAAAACCTCTGATGTAGACCGCTAGGCCACAGCTTCAAAAGTATTTAATCAATTTTACATGCTGCTAAATTTTATTTATTTTTTGCTTTATTTTTTCCCCATGTCTGTGGAAGTGTGTACGTGTGTTGGAGGAAAAGCCTTAATTGCCTGGCTAAAGTAAGATGTCAGTACTGTTTTTGACAACTGTGAATGAGGCAAAATCTAAACATGCCAGCCGTGAGGCAAAAACCTAAATGTTGAGACCCAGCGGATGTGTCTCCATGTTAAACCCTGCTATAACTGTGTGAATGAACACCTGTGTCTGCAGGGAATCTCATTAGAAGATGGAGTGTGAGATTACAGATGTAGCAATTATTTTTGACTGTGCATTCATTAGTATTACTGGTGGGCATTAAACATGCAAAGACATCATTATAATGTATTTGCATTTTTATGTTACTACTGTGTCTGCAAAGGCTCTTGTTTTTTCTTTGTTTGTTTACTGTGATATTCACCTGTAACTTTTGAAGGGGTTCTTGGTGGTTTTCAGAAGACTTTCCAAAGTAGAAAAGTAGTAAAACTGTGTTTTCCTTCATATTCCTACACAACCAAAACAAAAACTGCATGTATTCAATATATGCAGCGTGTCTTTGTACAAATATTACTACAGTTTGAAATAACTGTTTCCTATTTTAATATATTTTAAAATATAATTGATTTCTGTGATGGCCAATTACTCATTCATTAGTCATTACTCCATGATTAGATCATCACATGATCCTTCAGAAATCATTCGAAAATGCTAATTTGGTGCTCAAGAAACATTTCTTATTATCAATGTTGAAAACAGTTTTGCTGCTTAATATGTTTTGTAAAACTGTGATGTATAGAATTATTTGATGGATAAAAAGTTCAAAAGAACAATATTTATTCAAAATATATACAGTATCTTTAGTAACATTATACTTCTTTACTGTCACTTTTGGTCAGTTTCATAATTGTGTGTGTTGGTAGTATGCAGTTGATGTTAATATTAATACTATAATGACATTTTTGTCTTTTGTATGATATACAATTTTGGTACAATGTATAGTTACCACTTGTCGTTCAATGTAAAACCTTCCTAAAGCAGAACCAGTAGAGAACCACTGCGTTAAAACATGTTGTACAGTCATTCGAGTAGTGGTACATTCACCAAATCACATCATCAGAAAGTATGTGTCAAATAAAGCCGCGTTTAATTTTGTCTAATCAGAAATAGCTGCTTTCATTGAGACAATGCTAATGCGTTCTGCATGTTTGGTAAGGAACAGGCAAATGTGATCTGTTAGATTAACTTTAATCTGCTCTAAATCCCTCTCAAGTGGAACAACAGCATGAATACCAATGTATTATTCATCACGACAACAAGCCAGGATTTTTCCCCATTACAGCTATTACCTTAATTGCCTTCATATGAGTTTGCTTCTGAAGCCTAATGAACATATCTGTAAACTGAAAAGGTTTGATTTGGGAAACAAAATGTTTACTAGTCAGACAGCTAGTGAATGACATGTTCTTAGGTGGATAATACAGCTTCCCCATCCCGCCCCCAAGATATTTCATGAGTGTTTCTGAAGCCCTTCAATCAGACCTCACATCTCCAGAACCTGCCAAAAAGAACGAGAGCTGATTTCATCTCCAAACCTCAGACACTTTCCTTTCAAAGCACCATTTATGCCTGTCAAAGTATATTCATACAGCTTTCCTTAATTTATCAAGACCACTTGGCATCAAAAAAGCCAATTGAATGGAAGCCATTTGATTTATGAAATGAAATCTCTTCATTTACTGATCTGACTAAATGGACTAGCAAAATAAACATCCCAGCTTATTCACTCTAAAGCCACTGAATAAATTCTTGATGGTCCCACGCAGCCAGAAGATTCTCCCCCAAGGTGGCGTGGACATGAATTTTCGTCCTCCTTGAATATATCACAGCTTCATTACTTCTATAGTGTTGTGTTATATGGTCTGTTTTCCCATCATCCCACATGGCTTTCTCCTCTCCAGCCTCTCAGCCATTGGCATAACTTTTTATCTTTTGTGAGTGCAGGGCCTGTTGGGATGCTTCATTTACTCTGATGTGTTTCTGCTGGTGGTTCGGGGTATAGAGGAAGTGAGATGAAGAGAGAGAGGAGAGAGAGAGTCAGTCCCCAGTGCAGTTGTCTACATTGCTGAGTGGGAAGGTGGCACTGTGGGAGTACTGAGCACATAGTCAAACTGTGTCACTGTCTCACTCCTGCCTGGGGAGAAAAAACATGCTTTATGCCTTCAATCTCCTTAAACTGTTTTCATGTGAGGAAATTTTCATTTGATGTATTGGATTGTGTGCGTTGTCTGCGAAACTTCTGAATAGATCTGCACCTCTGATCTTTTTGCAGTTACGTAAAGACAAATTAGAACTTTTTTGGCAGGAAAAACTTTTTTTGCTGTTTTTGGGAGGACAATTAGGATTCTCCTTGGAGACCTGACAAAATGTGAAAGATTAAAGACAGTACTTGAGGATATATATGGTGGTTTATAAATGAAATTATCAGATGGAAGTCTTTTTTTTAGTTTTAATGAGAGTTTGTGATTTCAGTGTAGAGTAATGCTAAAAAAAAATTGCACCAGAATTATTTGAAGTATCTTGAAGTACTGTCTTAATAATATGGTAATCAGTAACATGTAGTATGGTATATATCTATAGTTAGTATAGTTAAAAAATCTTATAAGAAAAGCTAGTTTTTGGTGAATAGTTTAAGCCTAAAATTCTTTTTTACTTCAAAAATTTGCATAAAAGTGGATAATAAGCCTGGCTGGTGTGTGTATACATACAATGCCGTACAAACGTCTGGGATCAGTAAGATTTTTAATGTTTTTTAAAGAAGTCTCATTTATTTAATCAAAAGTTCATTAAAAACAGCAATGCTGTGAAATATTATTCCAATTAAAATAACAGTTTTAGGTTTTAATATACTTTACAGTAAGATATACTAATTCTATGATGGCAAAGCTGAAATTTCATCAGCCATATGTTATGTTATGTTCTGTTTAATTTTTTTTTTTAAATGTGTAACCTGTGATATGTTTTTTCAGGATTCTTAAATGAATAAAAAGTTAAGTTAGAATTGCATTTATTCAAAATAGAATAAATAGTTTTCTAACAATATAAGTCTTTATTATCACTTTTTTTTATCAATTTAACAAATCCTTGCTGAATAAAAGTATTTATTTATTATATATATATATATATAAATCTGTATATCTTAAATATATTTTTTGCAGTATTTGTTTCTTTGTTTCGTTTTTTTTTTTTACAATATATCTGCTTTTTATTACTTAATTTTATAAAATATTTGACCAATACATTTATATAACTTATGTATAATTTATTGTTATACATAAGTATAATAAATAAAAGTATATTTTTATAATTTATTATACTCCAATTGTTTTGGCACATCCTTCAAAAATCATTCTAATATGCTGGTGTGTAATAATATGTTTTTACTATATTTTTGATCAAATAAATGCAGCATTGTTCAGCATAAGAGACTTAAAAAAATCTTCCAAACTTTTCGTTATTCCAAACCTTTGACCGGAAGTGTATGGTTTTGGAAACAACATGCAAAAAAGTAAATATTAATATTTTCTTTTTTTTTGTTGAACTATTTTTTTTTTACTTTTGTTGAGATACAGTAGATACTTTAGATGCATTGGCATATACACCTGACTCCCTGTCTCCTCCAACAGGTCGGTTCCCCAGCGTTTCATACGGTGGGTTTAGGTGACGAGTGGACGGGACTCTGATGTAGAGTGCTGCTCCGGAGCTGAGTGCCCACTACTAGACCAGCAACTTCCTGCGCCTCAAGATGGATTAGAGCTTCACGCCTCCGGAGATCAAAGGTATGAGATGTGTAGTAATGAGCTTCCACTCCGCTCCTTCCAATCAGAGCACCACAGGCCCACCGTAGTGTGTAGTGTTTGTCTTAAATGCACCATGGATGGCTATTACTGTCTGTTAAATATTTATGAATGTAACGGAGAGGTGAAGGACTGTTTGATGTGCTTAAATGTATTGCAGACAGAATTTTTCAAGGCTCGGAAAACAATGATGGACTGCAAACAATGCTTGTCCGCTTCAGCACTTTGCTGTTTGTTTGGAAACCTGCCATGTTGTGCACACAGAACCATATGAGCTGGCCAAAATTATTGTGATTATAAATGTAGCACAGATTTATTGCTTGAGGTGAAAGAAGAAGAGAGAGAACAATGCTGCCTTGAGTCACAAAGTTCTCCAGTAACCATGGCAGCCGGTTTTTGACATATTTTTTGACGTATATTGCTGTCAGCCACTTGATTTGTGTCTCCTATTTTTCAATTATATTTCAGAGGCCTGAAAATGAAGTGAGGAGATTGTTGGTGTTATACAAAGGGTGTTATAAGACTAGACAGCGATTTATTGGAAAATGGAGGCTCACAGAGGGAATATGAGAGAAGGGGCGGGATCATTCCGCGGCCTTACGCACGTCCCGCTGCGCTCAGTAAAGAGAGAGAAGTCCAGAGAGCTTGTATGTGGCATGTTATTGTATCACTGGAGGACACGGCGTGGCCATGTTCTTGGTCGATAGAAGCTGTTCCTACAGCTTTATGGTTGAATGTTATTATGCTGCACAACTGATCTTTTTCATTGGTAAAAAAAAGTGTTTGTTCGGTTTACAATACAATTATTGTTTTGATATTAAACGATTGAATTTTGTCTTAGTGTTTTTTTAAAGAGGTTGTTCACCCAAAAATTTAAATTCAGTCATCATTTACTCACCTCATGTTGTTGACATTGTTTTCCGTTGAACAAAAGAAAAGATATTTAGAAGAATGTTGGAAACCATTGACTTTCATTGTATGGAAGAAAACGAACAACACATTTCTCAAAATATCTTTTTTTATGTTCCACAGAAGAAAGTCATATGGGTTTGTAATGACATGAGGATGAATAAATGATGATAGAATTTTCACTTATGGTTGAACACTCCCTTTAAAAAAATAAGACAAAATCCTATCGTATTACATTTTAAAATGATCCTTTTAAGTGAAAAGTTCACCCAGAAATGAAAATTTGTTTTTTTATAAACAGGTTTTTACTTCACAAGGCGTTAATCGAGGACAGGAATTTTATGTATTACTTGTGGATTATTGTGATGTTTTAATCAGCTGTTTGGACTCTTATTCCAACGGCACCCATTCACTGCAGAGGATCCATTGGTGGGCAAGTGATGTAATGCTAAATTTCTGTTTTGATAAAGAAACAACCTCATGTTCAAGTTCAAGTTCATTTTATTTGTAGAACACCTATACAACAGCCACCAGGCTGACCAAAGTGCTTTCCAGAAGAGCAACAATTTTACCACATACACAGAGAACAAACTTCTCTTAAAAATTACCATATCATGGTAGTCAATACACTAAGGAAAACATAAGTTTTTAGCAAGGACTTAAAAACAGACAAAGAAGGGGCCATTCTAATCTCTAAAGGTAGGGTATTCCAGAGTCGTGGCCCTGCCACTGCAAATGCACGCTCCCCTCTACGCTTAAGCCTAACGTGAGGGACCACCAACAAGGCCTGGTCACAGGATCGTAGGCTTCTAGATGGAGTATAGAAGTAAAGAAGGTCAGATAGATAAACAGGAGCTTGGTTATGTAGGGATTTGTATACAAAGAGGAGAATTTTAAAGTCTATTCTCTGACAAACCAACAACCAGTGTAGAGATCTAAGAATTGGAGTGATGTGTTCATGTTTACGACACTTTGAAAGAAGTCTGGCCGCAGCATTTTGGACAAGCTGAAGACGCGCAATTTGAGATTTAGATATACCGCAATATAAATAATTGCAGTAATCTAGAGGAGACATAACGAACGCATGAACAGCCATTTCTAAAGTTTTTGGAGTGAGAAAATGTTTAATTTTACACAGTAAACGAAGCTGATAGAACCTGGACCCAATGACAGAAGAAATATGTTTATCAAATTTTAAATGCTGGTCGACTAGAATACCTAGGTTCCGCACCCGCGAGGATCTAAAAACGGATAAACTTTCTAACTCAGGGCTTATACTCTGAGAGTTATCATTTGGACCGAAAACAATTACCTCGGTCTTGTCTTCATTTAGGAAGAGGACATTTTGGGCTAGTCATGATTTAACCTCCTCTAAACATTTCAGAAGAGAAGTAATCACAGTGGAATTGTTTTTCTTGATTGGTAAATAGATTTCAGTGTCATCTGCGTAGAAATTAAAAGACACACCATGTTTTTGTAGAATAGAGCCCAGAGGTTACATGTAAAGAGAGAATAGCGAGGGAGCTAAAATAGAGCCTTGTGGAAGGCCACAGGTCAGAGGAGCAGGGGAAGAGGAAAAATTACCCAACTTCACTAAAAACTTTCTGTCAGACAGGTATGACTGAAACCATTTCAGAATGTTTGCTTTTAGACCTACCCAAGACTCTAATCTAGATAATAGTGAGGAGTGGTCTATGGTATCAAAAGCAGATAGATAGATAGATCTAAAAGAATAAGAACCACCGAGTCTCCGGAATCAGTAGAGAGGTAAATATCATTTAACACTCTCAAAAGGGCGGACTCAGTGCTGTGAGCAGACTTAAAACCAGATTGAAAAACCTCATAAATACAATTACTAGTCAGAAAATGTTGAAGTTGATTCAGCACAATTTTCTCCAAAACTTTTGAAATGAAAAGTAAAACAGAAAAAGGGGATAAAAATGTTTTAGGACTGAAGGATCCAGTGAAGGCGTCTTGAGCAGAGGAGTGACCGTAGCGACTTTAAAGTTGGCAGAAACAGAGCCGGTTTGGAGACACTTAAGAGACACCAAACCTGGCCCAATCGAATCGATTATTAATTATAAAAATCTCTGGTGAATGATATCTCATCTACATCTGAATGAACATCTCATCTACATCTTGGATGGCCTAAAGGTGAGTACATATTCATATTTGGGTGAACTAATCCTTCAAAGGTGCTATGTAAATTTTTTTTGACTGTACTAAAGCATAAAAACGCCATAATACATTTGAAGATATTTAGGAAACATGCCAAGTTCACATGTTTCTCCGAAAAAAAGTTATTCTACTTTGAAAATGTGCATTCTGTGTCGGAATGTCTGTTTTTGTTTTGGTCGGTGTGATTCCGCCCACTGACAGTTTAACCAATAGTATTTCGACACCCCAGGTTGCCAGAGAGTGGAAAACAGCATATCGCAGCCATTGGAGGCCAGCAAACTAATTAGGTCAGAGATCGCAGATTCTACCTGACCTAAAAAGCCTCATCATCCATCTAAAAAGCTCCAAGACCAGAGGCATATTAAAACGAGGAAAAATCAACTCATCAACTTACAGTGTTTAAAGGGGTCATATGATGCAATTTCAAGTTTTCCTTTCTCTTTGGAATGTTACAAGCTCTTGGTGCATAAAGAAGATCTGTAAAGTTGCAAAGACTAAAGTCTCAAATCCAAAGAGATATTCTTTATAAAAGTTAAGAGTCAGCCACGCCTACCTAAAATGGCTCGTTCTAACACGCCCCCACATGTCTACGTCACTATGTGGAAATATTAGCATAATGCCACCCAAATGTGCACGCAAAGAAAGAAGGCGTGGTTTCACGAACAGCAGTCGTGTTGATGAAGCCATGTCAGGGAGACGCTGTGTTTCAGTGCGAAAGCAAAAGCACTGGCCTTCCGGAAGTAGATGCAATTAGGAATCGGTAACAAATATTTAGCTTTATCAAAGTTAAGACTCTGCCACGCCTACCTAAAATGGCTCGTTCTAACACGCCCCCACATGTCTACGTCACTATGTGGAAATATTAGCATAATGCCACCCAAATGTGCACGCAAAGAAAGAAGGCGTGGTTTCACGAACAGCAGTCGTGTTGATGTCAGTGAGACGCTGTGTGATTCAGTGCGAAAGCAAAAGCACTTTATTTGGCCTTCCGGAAGTAGATGCAATTAGGAATCATTGATTAATATTTATTTACAACAGAACAGCACAACCCAGATGTTTGAATTTGTTCAACGCATTTTATGGATGACAGTTTTTTTGAACCTAGAAGAAGAGTACAAGGCTGGCTGTGCACAAAGGCCATTTCTAAAAAAAAAAAAAAAAAGGGAAATTTCCGACTTTCTATAAAAATTCTGCGGCTTGTGTACTGCATCATCACTGTGTCTGTCACGCGACTCTGTTGCCCTTTCGGGCTTGAACTGATGGTAAAACTAACAACATTATTAACTGTCTTGATATTTACTTTAAAAGCTGAAGCTCGCGATTATGGTAAGGGGTGTTACATTTCCGACGCGTGCTTGTGGTGTTCGGCCAATCACAATGCACTGGGTCAGCTGGCCAATCAGAGCAGACTGCGCTTGTCAAAGGAGGGGGCTGTGTTGAAAATGACGCGTTTGAGAGAGGCGGGGCATAGAGGACCTACAATAATATACAGTATTTGAAAAATTTGTTTTTTGAACATTAAAGCATGTCAACATATTCTGTTACACCAAATAATGATCTTTAAAATAGCATCATATGAACCCTTTAAGGTTTGTCACCTTCAATTGAAACCGTATTTTGAATTTGGACTGCAGTAACCATTTCAACCGCTAGCTGTCAATATTACATACTGCACCTTAAAGCATCTTACAGGAAATTGAATTACATGCATTTTAATTTTTACTCCAGTTGGTAGTTGTCACATCACTGCTCATTTATACATTTTTGTTGTATCACTGGTCAAGCCCACATCACCAGCATTCATTGTCACTCATGTTGCTGAAAACCAAGACTCCTTTTGAAAATTAATGATTTGCAAATCTCTATGTGAATGAACGACCCTTTAAGTTGACACT